CCCTGGCTGGCCTTGAACACCTGGCAATCCTCCGGGCCTTAGCCTCCCAAGTGAACCACCATGCCCTACTAGCTCTGGTGCTCTTAATGAAAATAAATGTGTGCTCTCTCTCCTATTAATTTGTTTGTTGCTCACTTACCTCATAGGGTAAAATTATTGAAATGCCAGAGCAGAAAGAGATAATTGAAACTTCCTTACAAACAGAGTTGCACGACTTTAGACCTGACATTTGTCCTTTTTTCCCCTCCCAGATTCCATGAATAATGAATGACCTCTTGACCTTTTTCAAAAAAGATTGTCTCTTATTTTTATTTTTAGTTTTGTGTGTGTGTGTGTGTGTGTGTGTGTGTGTACATGTGAGTGTAGTGCCTGAGAAGACCAAACTTCTGATCCCCCTGGAGCTAGAGTTATTATAGGCAGTTGTGAGTGGTGAAGTCCTGGGAATTGAATTCAGCCTCTCTGTAAGAATAGTATTTGCTTTCAACTTCTGAGCCAGACTTCCATCCAGTGTCCCCCCCCACTCCCCCTCCACTGCCCCACCCTCCTGTCATTTATAGATGGTCTCATTCTGTAGCCAAGGTGGGCCTCAAAATCCCAGTCATCCCCTAGGATGCATTTTTACCTATGAGAGTGTTTTTGCCTGCATGTATGTGTATGTATCATATGAGTGCCATCTCTCCAGCCACATTTTGGTTTCTTTGCAGTATGGATATTGAACCTAGGACCTCATGCATGCTAGGCGAGTGCTCTATCACTATGATACACTCCAGCCTTTTTCTAGTAAAAAGGTATGTTATCTTGAGATAAGGTCTCACTAAGTTGCTCAGGCAAGCCTCGAACTCGTAATCCTTCTACCTCAGCTTCCCAAGTAGCTGGGACAGTCCTGTGCTACCAGGCTAAGTTTCTTTTTATACTTTTCCAAACATATATAAATAGTTATCTGCATATCCATTTCCCCTAACCTTTTGTGTCTGTCTGTCTGTCTCCACCCCACACCACACCCCTGGCTTTTTGAGACAGGGTTTCTCTATCTTTCTCACTCTGTAGAACAGGCTGGCCTGGAAGTTAGATCCCCTGCCTCTGCCTCCCGAATGCTGGGATTAAAGGCGCGCGCCACCATACGCCACACTTATTTTTTTTATTACATTTATTTATTGTGAAATGAGGGAAGGGGTACATATTTGTGGAT